CTAGTGACACTTGACACTGCAGAACTCAAAATCAGACCCACAACTTATATAAGCTACATTTGTGTTCCACAACATTTATAAATGAACAAAACATCTGCTTCAAGGCTATCTCTATTTGTGAAAATGAAAATTTGTAAGCATAATGGGAAAGTTAGTAAAATACATTACGTCATACATATATGGCACCCAATAGAATTTATATATTTTTTTTCACCTGATCAGATTTAAACTCTTGTGTGACAATGCCAAATTTACACTGAATGTAAATCAGATATAAAAATAAGAAAACTAAAACAGAAAATTTCCATGATTTGAATAAAGCATTTTCTTTACCAGACAGAATAAATATTCTGACAAATTAATGACACGCATGTTGTGGCTAGACAAAAGACTGTCATTCTGTAGTCATCTTCTTATCGACACTTGGCTACAGAGAAATTTGCAAGCAACTGAGGAATGCAACATAAACTGTAATTTTACTAGAGGTTAAATTAAAATTTTTTGTTGTCATGCGATCTTCTTAATTGAACAAAATTAAAATATGACAGGCATAATACCACCTTCTTGAATTCCTAACTGACCTCTACAGAGAACATTCAAGTTCTTCACAGAACACAAAGCTTCATTTATAAAATGTTATTCTTCAAACAAGAAGACAAATAACAATACGATATAAACGAGTACCTCCAAATTTCAACAGAGAGTTGTTACAATTCATCAGTACAAGGAACTTTTAGAAATGCTATTTGTAAAATTGTTATTAATAATTTTTAAACTGACTGACCTAACTCAAATACGTTCATTCCGCAGCACACAACGTTTATCCAAAACAAACTTTTACACTTTATTGCTTCCTTACTATTAGATAAACTTCAGTCTGCTAGTTAATTTTCCAATAAATGTCAACATTTCCCCACAAAATTATCTTGATAATTAATTAATCCAACAGTCGATAATGCTTAATTACTCCAGTGCCATTTAAAGAAACAACGTACACTAAATTGAGATTTATTTTCATAGAAAGAGCCCTGGTAGCAGATGATCAGCATCTAACTTAATGCTACTTAAACTTACATATCTCTACTTTACTGGGCTAATAAAACATTAATGCTTATGCACCAATAATGTTTAGAATGAGACAATGGGAACATTCTAGTCTCCCAGTCGATCTACAGACAGCACAAAACCTTGGGGTGAGCCATGCAGGATTGTGTGCATGTAATAAATATTAAGTACAACAAACACACATAACCTCAATTCTCCAGCAGGCAGTTTACCTGCGTATTTATGAAAATTCTGAGGAGAAAATATGGTAAATTACAATTAAAAACTGATGTAGTTTCTGATTATTATAGATTAACCATATGTAAAAATGAATCAATGAGTTATGTCTTATCATGGTGGTTATTATAACTATTCTCGACAATAAAGGATAATCGGCAAGCTTGCATTAAGGAATGCCTGTTACAGATTATAAAATTATTATATGTCCCATCAAACTGTCACGATTACTCAGTGTTCTTATTATACCTTCAAACATAACCTCTCAAAGTTACTGTTGTTTTTAAAGTCCACAGAAGGTACTGGTGTTAAACGTATTTCTGAAACTTTACAGATTGTCTCTTGTTATCTACGTCAGTAGTTTAGTGCCATATTTTTGACCAACATTTTAGTTCTCTCGATCAAAAATCTTCACAGTACACAAATACATTACATGCTAAACACGCGCACTAAAATATGCTGAAACTTCACAGAGACGAAGGCACCGAACATTTATAACAATACTAAAAGGTGGGGGAGAGGAAATAATTTCTGCCTAAAATAAATGCAGTTATAAGAAAAAGTTTAAAAAACTCAGAATTATAAGACAAAGCCAGAAATTTGTTCACGCAGTCAGTTCTATGAATTCAGGCTTAGTTTATCAATAAATACCTTGCAACTAAATATATCAGTCCTGAAGCCAGGTGGTGCTTAGAACTGTTACGTCTTTTGTTTGATGAAATGGCAAGTAAACAAAGTCGGTAATAATTCGTGTAAAGATGATGTAATGATAGTGAAGAACGAAATCTATGAGTTACATAGTAATTAGCCCGAGTATTAAAAATCCCTCCGTCCTCTTCACATTTAGATGTCTTCTGGGCAACTTTCAATCATACAACCTTCTTCCCTGCAACGAACAAAATATGATGGAATGCCCGCTTCACTCTGATTCATTCTTGTACATGCCTCTAATTTTGTTGCCACTTCTCTCCTTCTCCCTTTCTTAAGATTTGCATGAACAAATCCCCAATTTGTTCAAGAGTTTAACTCGGACCTGAGAAAAAGAAAAAGTATATTAATCATCGCTGAAAATAATACAATGCAAATTGGTCTACGTGAGATAGCGCAGACAAAAAGTGCAAAGCAGATTATTTTAACTTATTAAACAGGAAGTGACATGAAAACAAAACAATTATTCCACAAAGAAGGACTTCGCAAAGGTGAAAAATATCCCAGTGACCATGAGAGAGCCACAAAGAAGGTCATACTGATATTGAAAACAACAATTCTTGATGCTATACTTTCTTTGTTCCGACGACAAGAGATAGTTATATCCCGAACTAGAGTCAGTGGGGGAACAAGGATCACCTCAGGGTTGATGTGGTAATTTTTTTTATAAATAAATTAGGAACAATAAATTAAAGAAGAACACAGAATACTTTTACTTTTGAAATTTGAATCCTCTCATACACAACTTCCCATAACAGGTACAAAAGTTTTGTTTACTGGCTGAATGCCCGCTGTCGGCCGTCTCCACTCAAGTGCTGCACGTGTTCTTGACCTAACTTCCAGATCCCTTGCTAGCGTGGGATCTTTCACACGTGATTTGCTGGCCAGTTCAAATTTTAATTCCAACAGTTACAGGAGTTCTGGACGGGATAGTGTCTATGTATCATATGTGGATCTAATACTTGATTCTTGCAATGGGATACAGAATGAAGTGAACAATAAAAACTCTCAAAACGTTACATAATGACAGTTCTTATTTTAAAGAGCAATATTATCACAAAGTCTCTCACTATTAATACATTTATTTATCTTATACAACAGCAATAATTTAAAAACATAATAAGAAACTTACTTGAGGGCCTTGTAACGTTCCTTTTCATGATTGTTTTCAGGGGTTTCACATTCAAATGATGCCAATGCCAGAGCTGGAACAGAACACAGAACAATTATAAGAACCTTACAAAACATTATAAATGGCCTGTTTTAAGGTACATGTAATTTGGTTGAAGTCACTGAGAAAAATCAAGATAGCTACTTTTCATCTGGAGTCAAAATCACTTTAGTATATTTTCAGGCATTTAGATATGAAATGAGACAAAGGAAGAGCAGTTAATGGACAAACACTTGAATATCTATGAATAAAACTCTTTACAGCATACTTGTACCCATTCTTCATTCCATTTCTGTTTCCAGATAAAACCAAAACTGAAATATGCAAATTTAAAATTATGAACACTGACGAGCAAAACCTACCATTCTCAGTGAGCACAGGACTGGCCTGCAGAAAAGTGATGACTTTCGTATTCTTCTCAAATGGACATGTCACCTGCTTCCAAGTAATAAACTCTGTCACCTGTTTCGCAAGCTGCCAGAACTTCTCAAAATTTATGTGGCCATTGGGAAGTCTGGAAAGAAACAGCACATTATCTTAGTTGAAACACACAGATAAATACCCCCAAGCCCTTATGAGAATCAGACCCTGGTTGTACACTTCTCGGGCAGTCAGCTCGTGAGCTGCTCAAAATGAATTAATGCAACAATTTATTATAAAATTTCTTATCACATTAGCCATACCCTAGGTCTCTTTTATTCTGCATTAAGTGCCTTCAACTGTAAACAGACCATAATGAAGTATGGCACATGTGACGTCATGTTCACCTCCTCCTCCACCTAACTCTTGCTTTAAAATCGTTCCTCAACCCTCTAAAACAGGGTGGTTACTCAACTTTTGTCATTAAAACTTTCCCATTAAATTCACTAGAAAGAGGTGGTTTCCTTCCCATGAAAATAGAAAAAGGATGAAAGGCACGGCAGCCCCACAAGCGGCACATAATTGCTCTGCAGAAACAAGAATTCAATACAGTGGACCATCCTCTACTTTCAGAATTATGTACAAACTATTTCAAGTCTATAATAATGTGAACTGGATTCTGTGCTTAGAGTCCATGGCTGTCTCTTTCTAAACCTTCCATCTTCCTATTCATTCAAACTTTGAGTAGCTACTTCAAACGAAGAAAGGCAGAATAATCAGATATAATCCAGGAACATGCATTTACATTTGAGAAGAGTAATTTTTACTGTTAAAACACTGTTTTATTCAATTTATCTAAATGGAGATGTGAAACATAAAACACCCGAATGTTTACATAAGTTAGGTTAGGTTTGATTAATGGCTGCATAGTTTGTATACTATTTCAGAGTTTTCTGGTCCTCTGACCATGACACGATTCATTATAATAACAGAACCCATTATGCTTGGCTGAACATTATTTATGTACATATCACATAACTTCATTGTTTAATGAAGCTATGTACTTGCAGATATGAGCATTTGATTTGTATTTAAATTATACTGAATTCATTACAAAAACACTCAATAAAATCTTTAAAGCTAAATATGTTAGCATGTAATACCATCCACACTTACATACCAAATCTTTTATATTCTAGCAAAAGTGTTCCGGCCTTTGAACCACCAAAGCACTTTGCCGTGCACATGCATTCTGCACCAGACTCTAAACAATTTTCATTTTTCACTTTTGCATGATGTATAAAATCAATTTACATATTACTTAAAATTCCAATAATTTAACATTCAAATTTTAAACCCAAAAAATAATATTTACATGGGATACAGCTCGCTCAAAATTTAAATATCTTTTACACAATATTTAGTTGTCCTGTATTTGTTTATTTATTTGAATTTCCTTCAAACACTTCTACTACTCCCATTAAAATAAGTGTAATTTGCCTATATTTCAAATAAAATCCAACTGACAGAATTATCATGCTTTCTCAACACAAATCTAAAGGAAAATGAGGCATTAGATATAAAAAAATGGAACGGTGGACTAGACAAAGCTACAAAGATAATAAAGATGAATCTAGAGTTTCCATACATAGAAGAGAGGATGGTAATAAACTATTTCTATATTACCTTTTCATTTTAAACATCATTTCTGCAAAACAAGGAAGATTCACTCAAACAGATGCAATTTTCCCCTAAAAGATATTCTTTTCATCGTGAAGGAATTCAAATTATATTCTGGTTGGAATTACGAACTAACATTAATGTAACTTTAATGAGAGATACAGCAGATAACTTTATGTCTCTGCTTCATTCATGTAAGACAAAGCACATCTTCTGGTGTCTGGTACAAAAAGCTTAAACAAAAAAAAAAAGGAAATTAAAAAAGGGGGGGCTGAAATATGAGAAAGAAGTTACATAAGACTTGTTTCATAAAAGATTTGAGTCTAAAACAAATGAAATGAAGATTTCTCTCTTCTGGGTTGTTGCGCTGTGTAGTCTGGTCGATGTTTACCAACGTTTCAGAGGTCATACTGCCTCCGTCATCAGGGCGATGAATCATCGACCAGACTACACAGCGCAACAACCCAGAAGACAGAAATCTTCATACTCATCGCCCTGATGATGGAGGCAGTATTACAAGAATAATACTGTTAAGAACATAACGCAGACATGCCATTTTAGATTTCAGTTTCATCACATTTTGAACACCAGCTGTCAAATTACTTGAATACATTCTTCCTAAGTCTATACCCAATTTTATCTTCTGAAGAAATTGCTTTATTACTGGGTGGTCTGTTAATGTCCTTGTATGTCACTGGCGACAGAGAAAATCAAAAGGTTTATTTGGCCATTCTTAAAACAACGGTAATTTATTATGAGCAATGTCCAAAGTGTTATTTTAACAATCAATTAGTACTGTAGTTTTTGTTTGTCTCACTTTTGAAACAGAACAAATATTCCCGGCAGTTTTTTCAACCTCTCCAATATTGTAGACACCTTCCCCAAAACTATCTAATACAAGTTTTATTATACAGAATACAGACTCACTGAAATATGGCTAAAACGTATGACTGACGAGAAATTATCCGAAACAACAAACATTCAAATCAAGTCGTATTCATAACGCAAAAGAAACTTACTTATTTGAGCAGCCCTCGTTCAGGAAGTACAGATCCTTGACAAGGAGCGAGAAGAATGGAATAACAATGCGCTGCCTTTCATCTGTAGCTCCGGCGGATCGCCACATGGCGGCCTTCAAGGTGGACCGGTAGCTGCTGAAGTTGGAAGATGGGTCCATCTGATGTTCCAGGATTGAGAATTTTGCTGACTGCACCTTACTCCACTGTGGAAAAGAAAAGAAAAAACTGGAAGAGAATCATCGGTAACTGAACATTGAAATTATGTTATATTTTCAGAAATGCTCCTGAGGGACTGGAATGTGTTGGCGATTGTAATTTGAAATGCGACACTACTATGGCACATAGAGAGAGAAACATAATCAAATCTTTTAATGCACAAAACGATTAGGACCACAGATACCTGATTAATTCTTAAACCAGTACAGATAAACAGGTTAAATTATAAAACTGTCGCAATGCATTGCGTGAATAAGACCATAGAAATTTCAGTTGTAATATTTCTGTGGTGCGATGTTTTCATCTCGGTATAACAATTTTGCTGACACAGATATGGCAGACCGGTTTCATGCAGTTAGGCCTGTGTTCAAGTGTTTCTGAACTTCCTATACATGTCCAGAAAGCTCCGGTCGGTCATCTGTCACTGCCAGGCGACCCCAAGATTGATTCAGTTTCTCTTCACGTCTCTCAGGTTCTCAGCGCATGAATGGCCTAAGGACCGACACTTCTACACTGTTTTAACATCACATTGCGGTACGTTGTGGAATGCTGTAATTTCACGCCATAGGAAATATCAGAGAATTTAAAAAGTTGCATTAAGACCGTATCATTGGTACAAGACGCCACTAACTAACGAAATATCTCGCTATTTCTATGGTAACTTCATGACATGAGGCAAGTCCGAAGTGATACAAGCCAGCCAACCACCAATCACCTCATTTCGTAGTGTCCATATATCAATATTGACGACAGACCTATAATTTATTTTGTCGAACTTGATATTACTAAAGATGACAGTCTTCTGGGATGTTTGCCAACGTTTCAGAAGTCCTTGTTGCCTCCATCAACAGGGCGATGAGTGATCTCCCTGATGATGGAGGCAGCAGGACCTCTGAAACGCTCATAGATTTATACCAGACTACACGGCGCTACCCAGAAGACAGCAATCTTCTGACACATCAATTTGGTGTTAATAATTTCATAATTTTCAAAAGCGATTAAATATTGATAATATGCATTTTTTTTACTATTTTCTTCTCAGATTTATATTTCGAGAGTCGAGATCGCGATAATCTAGATACTAGCCAGTTAGTCAGTTGATACATGTATCGGTCAGTGTTATAAGTGGCATTTTCCGAAGACTCTTTCCAAGTCAGCGACGGCATAGGCGAGATAAATTAAATAAAAAAATTTTCATACAATCTCCCACGTAAAATTCAATATCCATCCTGCTAGCACTGACGGTTTCAGTACCGATAAATTGTCTTCTCGAAAAAGACATTCTAAGAATTGTATTGGCGCGTGATGACGTACAGGAGCCCAATAAAAGAAAAGGTCGAGTGGTACTTCAGTTGCAAAGTTCTTGAGACACTCTTGCTCTGATACGCGAAGCACTTTGTCTAAAGTTCTCGCTACTAAATAAATAGTCTACCATCTTTCATGCAACCGCTCTGAAAACTGTCCAATACCAGCAACTTTATACCAACAGTTCAAACTTCCTTTTGAAAATTTGATTATTCTTCGAGCAAGTAGGTGGCTTATTATATGGAAAGTTCCGGCTTCACCTTCCTGATACATAATGACTTTCCTTGTACTCTTCCTCTGTTTTATATTTTCGTCTATCTTTGATCTGTCTGCCTCTGGTTTTAACATATAAATATTCTTAAGAGCACTATTGCGTTCGCTTAAAACAACACGGCGTCCAAATGAAGTCCATAGCTTCTAGTTTTACTGAGATAAGTAACAAACAAACCACTGCAGTTAGACGAATCAAATTTGGTATCACCATACATGACAAACACACCCAAAAATTACGTATAATTTATAAATTAAGAAATATAATTTACGTCACACAAATAACTCGAACGATGACTTTGTCATACTACGACATTCCATAGGACCTACATAACTTATTTTTCATTTTCTTGGTAAAAAAAGTTGTTAAGGCAAAATGGAA